GAGTGCACCGCGTGCCACTCGCGACGACCGAAGTGTTAATTGCTTCAGCGCAATTGAATCGACTCGGCGCCGGGCACAGTGTAATCGAGCGAATATATTCCGTCAATGAGGGCTCGCGTTGCTCGAGCGACGCGCAAAGGGCTTATTGGCTCGGCAATTATTTTCGTACTATCGCAATTTTCCCTTTAATCGTTGCTTCTCTACAACTCTCGCTCCGCTCTTCACGTGCGCCGAAAAAACAAAAACAAAACAAAACAATATTAATGTAAAAAAGAAAAGCCATTCTTGTTCGTTTCGATTTTTCCCATTGAATCGAGAAACAATCGGTTTCGAGGGATTCTTTACGATAATTTTTTCTTTTCTGTCTTTCTCGTCGAAAGGTTTCTCGAAATTATTCGTCTCAATGCACGGGGAGATAATTGATTTAGAAGCGGGAGCGGAGGAATCGTGCATGGAATTTTTGCGGAATCGACGAACTTGGCTAATTGCGCTTGGAATAATTCATGCCGGTGAAAATCAATACGTCTCCGTGCAACGTTCTGCACACGTGTGCACCCTTTTAACAAGTCTCCTAATTCCACTGAAATATTTAAACCTGGAATCGAGCTATTTAATTAGATCCAGGTTCTATCGTATCCAACCTTTTTACAATTGAAATTAAAGTGCTACGGTGAGATAAGGATTCGTTGATATATTTGTCGGTTCGCGAAATGTCGATTGCTGAAATGTAAAAAAAAGTGGGGCGGTGGAAGGGTTACTATATTCAGGTTCGTTAGGCTAATATTAATCCAGAAGGATTTGGAGCATTCTAATGTTATTAAAAAACTCGACAAGTTGCCTCGATGATCCCGGGGCGAGAATGCGTCGCGGGGATTTTAATTCGTCGACCGTGCAGTCAGGCGCAAATTGAATTATTTACAATCATCGAATTCATTGGCAAACATGATACGAGCACGATACGATATGCCATCTCTTTCCGATCGACATTTTATTTCACAGCGAGAATTTTATCGTGAAATCATATTCCTTTCCATTAATTTACATTGACTAATTTCTCACTCGAGTAAAGGGACAATTTCACGTTCAATTTGTCCAGACATTTAACACTCGCGTCATTTTTTTTTTCTTTTGTAAATATCCCTACTGTTTACCTACACCCCAATTCTTCTACGAATTCTTGCACGAAGCGTGAACTACGGTCACCGCGGAAAGTATGTTGACATGCTATGAAAATGTACGTTTTGAAAGACAGTACATTGTGTATACATAGTTCTATAGATTCGCTTCATCGATTGTATTTGTTGACTTTTTTCTGCAATGCCACTACTTGGTATAATTCAGTTCACGAATAGGCGTGTATGTCCTTTCAAATTTACATAAACAGCTCACACGAAAAGTAAGTTGACAGACTTTTGGCCCTTGAGATCGGATAATTGCAATTTTACATTTTGATGGGAGAAGCAAGACTTAAGAATTATTATGAACAAATTGGCTGATAATAATGTAATAGTAGATGGGAATGTCTAACTGTGGGCTACCACTTTCATTTTAGGATTTATATGATACGAAATAAAAATAAGCTGAACAAAAGCAACGTATGTTGCAAAGTATACATTTGAAATAAAAGGAAAAATCTTCATTTTTAGAAAGGTAGTCTAAATATGGGTCACTCGTAAAATAATCGAAGTGAAAAGTAAGAATTACATATTGTCAGGTTGAAATATTTGAAAACATGTTCAAAATGTAGATAAACTTAAATTTAAATGCTATTTACAATCTATGCACAGTAGTTACAAACGTACATATCTTTTTCAAAATTTTATATATCTTTCTTTTTTGTCTTTCATTTTAACGTTTTGGTATTTTTCTTATTACAATTCTCATAGTCACCGAATTCTAATATTGGTTAGTCCATATTCATCCATATTACAGAGCTACCAGTTTTGGTAGAAAAAGAAGCTTACAATGTCAGCAACGTAGTGCTCTTAGTTTAATAGATTATTGCTGAAACAATAAAACGAACTTACCTGAAAAATGTTTTGAAATACCGAAATAAGGGAAATGACACGTTTTGCAACGCAACACGTAAACAAAATAAATCCAGGTCACTATCTCCTCCGCAACACTTATTTTGTTCATAACTCTCAGTTTCGTGCTATTTTCAATAGGGTCAAGCACTTAACATACTCAATACTTCAACTAACCCATATTTATACCTACGATGTAGAATAGCAATAAACAAATAAAACGAGACTTCTAAAATGTAAATAACTGGCATCGAACAGGAACAATTAGCCTTACAATTAACTTCGTCACTAATCATAACACTACACGTCGAAGCAACTTCAATCTTTCTTCCCGTAAACTTGTTCGTGGAGGAGTAGCCTGAACATCAGAAGACCCGTCAGCTCGAGTAATCCTCTCATCGGCGTACTATTTACAATCCAACAACCCCTCCTCAATTCCGTCATTTCCATCGTGCAAACATTCGTTCCCCTCGCAGGAACAAAATTGTTCTTTTATCCAGCGATAATTTGCTCGTTGGCCGGGGGGTGGAGAATCGTGAAAGAATCAGCCCCAGAAATATCAACGAATGGAGAAGAACTCTCGACCGATCGGTAGCCAGGCCGAACTACCAACGCTTCCGGATAAAAGGAACTCGAGGAAACTCGGTTACACCCCGCTTCCGCCGCGGTGTCTCGCGACCCACCGCCGTCCAAGACGAAGCTCGAAATGAGAAACGGAGGAGAGAAAAGGCTCTGCGGAGGTCGGGACGTAATTACTTTTTCTCCCTCTTAATCAGTTCAGCTCGTTTGGACGGCGCGGCGTTTCGGTGCAAAAACGAATCCTCGAATTCTTGCGGAGTAATTGATGAGCCTGCAGGCGGCTAATTCGTTCTACGTGGATTTTTCCGACGGTGACATGGGGTTGGTTGCCTTTGGTTTCCTTTCGTCCAGTCTATAAAACGTTGTTTTGTCGAACATTGTGGATAAGCGGGGTGGTTAAACGTGGGAACCGTGTTGGAGAAAGTCGCGAGCATCGGTTTATCGTCGCAGTTATTTTTACGATGGGACAGCTGACGGGGAGTTTGCGAGGATTTCGCGGCGTCATAACAGACGACATATCCTAGGATGCTCCGTCGAGTACGTTAAACTCTCTGAATGGCGATGATCTCGCAACTACAGGATATTACACTCTGCGTCACGTTTCTGAAAAGATTTGTCCGGCAATTTGCGAGACGAAAATGCAGCTTACGCAGGATACGATTAATGGTAACTCGATTGCAAGTGGGATACAGTGCGAGGCAGAAGGCGTGATACTATCGAGTAAATATAAATTTTTTCGTATGAAGCTCGGTTTTCGAGGAAATTGAACTTAAAGATTTCTTGAAAATTGTAATATTATTTCTGCGCCACAGTTTTATGTTGATAAATAGCGGTAACGTGACGCTTCGCAGAGAAATAGTGTAAATCTTGGTAAATCGATGGAAAATGATAATTAGTATCGTAAACTATCTATAAAGGTATCCTGAAAATTTCAGATAAATTATATAGGGTGAAACGGAACGAGTGGTAGAACCGGACAAATAGTGCTCGTACATGTAAACATAAACAGAAAATTTATAAAAGGAATCAAATTTATAAAAGTTTTCATGAAAGTCAAGCTTGAATACCTGAGTACGCGTGCACTTAACTATCTCCAGGTTTCTTGTTTGTGCTAATTAACAGTGGCAATGCTACGACAAGTATCTACTAATATGTTTATCAACGATTTTATTGCTTTACGTGTGCGTTACTGAATGAACTGTTGAAAGTGACGTCCTTGTTGACGCATAAAAATTCCTGCTCTTCGAGTCAGAGTCGTGGACATATGCCACGGTATTTTGACGCTTTGATTGTTCGAAAGCCTGTATAATTCTTCCTCTGAGAATTATTTACAACGTAAATTGCCGCTATTTACAACATAAAAACGTGAACAGAAGTAACAGTTTGCAATTTTCTCGAAAATTCAGCTTTTCAGCAACAAATTTTATTTTTCGTTTTCGGCTTATTTTTACATACACTACCGGCCAAAAGTTTGAGATCACCTCCCACTTTTCATCGATATTAAATCTGCTGCTAAATTTTTATAGATTTGAAGTTTATCTCAATTCTACTTTTATCAATTTGTCTCATATCTGTAGTTTTATCTGTATTCACAACTAGTCATCCACTTTCACCATTACTCATACTGAACTCTTCACCTTCCAACTCTCCTGCATAGTCACAACCCAAATCTTCCCAGAACCCTTAAATAGCCCTATTTTCTCCATTTCCGTATTCATTCTCTATTTTACCACGCGCACGTCACGTATCATCAAAAATCTCTGTTAAATAAAGTTCTGCTTCACGCAACGACGATCCCTAAGTGTTTTAACTCCGTGATACTCCAATATCTGCTCCTAGTTTCGAGGAATTGGAGCAAACTGGGCAGCACAGAACGATAAAAAATTCTCAAAGTCGCTGACTCTTTCTGGAAATTTTTGTGTAAATCGCAATGCTCGGTGATTCGAAACTTTTGGCCGGTAGTGTACATGCAGAATCATATAGAAACATGGGTAAAGACAATGAAACGGAAGTTAGTTTCTGTACACCATAGTATGTCGCTATTTTCCGAGAGTAACAAGTTTCTAGCGTTCAAAAGGAATTATTAGTTGGCTGACTAGGGGCAGGCTAATCCAATCAGGATTTCTCCAAAGTTTTACCCCTTCCGTTTCACAGCTATTGACATAGTTCGACCATGTCCTCAAGATCGATCGTACAACCTGACTGAAAATTAACGACAACTTTTATCAGAACGTGTAACAAACCTTCGTCGACTATTGTCACGATTATCCCGTCTAAAATAATCTCGCGGTTGAAAGACTTGCCCCGAGTATTTTCTCCACTCTATCTACGTTAAAGTCACGGTAGAAGGACGAAAATAAACGGGACTTATTTTTGCTGTGTTTCTGCTTGCAGGAGTGGAACGATTACAAGCTGAAGTGGAACCCGGATGATTATGGCGGTGTCGACACCCTCCACGTGCCGTCGGAGCATATATGGTTGCCGGATATTGTTCTTTACAACAAGTAAGTCGATTTTTAATCAACCTTATTCACCTGACTCTCCGGCGATATTGAATTCGCCAAACGGAATCCTATAAAAACAATGTAATTTCGGTTCTCGGTTTCTTTCGGGGAAATATCAAGAAACCTCTCTTGCTACCGGAGAGCTCTAATGGGGAACAACAAAATTAAGACGATAAAATGACGCCGGTTATTTCGATGATCGAGAGGTTAGGGGTTCGCTGATAAAACGCGATAAAATATACGACCGTGACCGGAAAGCAATTTTCCGTGCGACGTCTTGCGCGAAGTATGGCGAGAAGCCAGGCTGCAGGAGCAATTTGTTCGTTCGAACGATTTTATTTTTACAACCGGAAAGGACCAGCTTAAACAGCTGTTCGATACGTCCACTGTCGAACAGCGATATTAAGCGAACCTGACATTAAGACTGGACTTAAACGTTTCTTAATACCGCCATT